CCATAAAGGGAATTTCTGTAATACTTTCACTCTGAGAATTTTCACAGTAACAATAGATGAATTATAAGAATGTTAGGGAAAAGAGTAATAACTATGCTTTTGCCTGAAGCAAGGATTTTTGTGGATGATATCTTTTAGTGGACCAGTGCGTACAGATTCGGACAAATTTTCAAAAGCAATGCATTTTCTTTATGGATTTTCTATTGTGAGCGGAAAATTTCAATAACTTCCCTCTTTTACTAGTGCTGGAGTGGTTTTGTAGCCATGATGGTCCAGGAAATATGGATAGGCGTATTTTTATGCATCTCATTTACACATAGATTCTTTCTTTACTAAACAAAATGGAGAAAGATTCCTAACCAAAGAGGAAAAAATACAGGAGAAAGTTGCACATCTTACAAATAGCAAGAATTTGAGCAAAGTGATAGATAGGAAGGAATATCAGCCAGGCGAGTGATGATTAAAAATCAGTGGAGGGGAAGTTAAAATCAATTAAAACGTGTTAAGGACTGGCCAGTAAATTTGTTGTAGAAAGCACCCATTCAAATCTCTTATGCAAGCAGGGAGCAAAGATGGCCATGGGCTGCATAAGTGGCAATAAGGAACTTGGAAACAATTCATTTCGTGCTTGCTTGCAAAATTTATAACTTTGCGATCATAAAAAAAGGAGGGAGAAAGAATGAGGATATGAATATATGCATGTAAGTGAGTTTTTCCACTAGGCAAGTTTACCAAAACTCTCTCAGTTATAATAATTACCCTCTTTCCACTAAGAACGTATCACGCCAAATTTTCGTCTTCTTGTTTGTTCGAAATCTGAAAGCAAAATAATATTTACTGCTTGCAGCTGTGACTATTTTTGAAAAGCACTGTTAATGTTAATAATTTTTTTTTTAAAAAGCCGCTCTGCTTAGGTATACCTGAAACTTTATAAATGTGCTATTTAAAAACAGTTTTAAAATCTGACAGCTGTGGTCACTGGTCCTGACAGCTTATTTTGCCACAATTTCTTTTCCATTCAGTTGATTTACTTAGGTGTTGGCTCCAGCCCTGGCTTTAAGAAATGGCAATGACCCACCTGTTTCCTGGCTTTTCTAAGTCTAGAAGTTTTAGGACAGACTTGCCGTCCATATCTGGAGGTGTGTCAAGTCCTGCAATATCCAGAACAGTTGGAGCAAGATCAATATTCAGCACTATCTGAGGCACTCTGCAAATTAATAGAAAAGGTCATAGTTGTATTATATGTACATTCCATAATCTTTCACATTCTCTTGGAGTTAGAATGACAATTAATGTTTATGGGTACTTTGGAGATGTAAAGCTCTATAGAAGCGTTAAGTTTAAAGACTGCTTCAGGAGGACAGTGACTTTGAGAATAGCAGACCAATATTTGATACAGTCACAAAGAAAGAGCATCAGAACTAAACACAATTAAATAAAAAGTGAATTTGGCCCCCTTATTCTTCCCAAACCCCTCACAATAAAAGCTGACTCTATCCATTCTACTGAACCAGAGTATAAACATTAGGGCTGGAAGGGACCTTCTGAGATCATCGGGTCCAGCGCCCTGCCCAAGGGGCAAGAAGTCAGCTGGTGCCAAATGATCCCAGCAAGATGAGCATCCAAGTGTTTCTTAAATGTGTCCAGAGCGGGTGCTTGTACCACTTCTGGTGGGAGTCTATTCCAGGTTCTGGGGACTTGGGCGGTAAAGAAGTTTTTCCTAATGTCCAGCCTAAAAAGGTCTTCCAGGAGTTTGTGACTGTTAGACATCATCTTCCCTTGGGGTGCCCTGGTGAACAGATGTTCTCCCAGTTCCTGATGCATATCCCTTACATTCTTATAGGCTGCCACCAAGTCAGCTCTGAGCCTTCACTTTTCCAGGCTGAAGGCTATTAACCTCCCCACTTTTAAAAACAAAGCTCAATGCCTCAACATAAAATCATAAATGATATTATTTTCTATTGTATGTTTCAACCCATTTATAATGTATGAAAAAGAAAAAAATCTTTTATTCTTCTGAAGGAGCACCCGGCAAAAACTGGGCATCCTTCATGAAACTCCCCACCCCCTGCATGCTTAGAATGACAAGCAAATGTGCTAAAAAAGATTTCACATTAAGTTTGACAGCTGCTTTGTAGACATAGCAGAACGTACACTGATCCCGGCTCTACATTTGGACCACGAATAAAGAAAGGAACTCGAATATCAAAGTCATATGGCATTGACTTCCCCTTGACCAGTCCAAACTGCCCAATATGGTAACCATGGTCAGCGGTGTAAATAATGTAGGTATTCTCCAGTTCACCCGTCTCCACAAGCATATGGTATAACTGAAATACAGCATAGAACGAACTCTAAATCAAATATGACAAGACATAATTTTCATATTTATATATAACCATTATTTTTCTCACATAAGTCTGATTTGGCCTCACTGGGTGTCATTGGTGAAACTACTGAAACCAGTAATAAGGCCAGGAATGAATTTGGCACATTTTGTTCCCTGCCAACTAGATCCATATTTTAATATATAGGAAATTGCAACCGGGGGATTTTAAAAAGTTTAATATGGTAATCTTTGGTGCTATTTGGCTTGTGCTATCATTGCCTAGAAATCAATATGGTTGCTTGCAGATGTTAAAAAACCAACCCCTCCCCCCCGACCCCTCACTCTTTACCGGAAGCAGCAGCACGTTAGTTTGACTTGACTCTGCAGTGTCTGTATAGATCTGTATAGATAGCTGGGCTGTTTGGTGCTTTCATCCAAAGCTGATTCAGTCAGCTATTAGATAAAAGTGCCAAAAAAGCCCCACTAAAGTGCCCAGTCTATACAGATGTTGGGTAAGACAGGTCCAACTAAGGCACTGCCTCTTCTGGGCAGAAATTCGCTGAGTTTGAAGTGTCATTTTTTTTGCATGTCTGCAAATACGCATGCTCACAATCATAAACTGGTTAGTGAATAACTGTACTACAACTGTACAATAGATGGTTTCCAGACTCGATCAATTGTGTTTTGAGTTTGCAAATATCTTGTGCTCTAGTTAATGGCTTGGGAAGAGACTATATACATTTTAACACTACTGAAAGTTAAGGGAGTTTCTCGTTTAGTATCAATGGAATAATCCTTGGATCTGTAGGAGATAGAAAGTGGTTTTGTAATAAAAGGTCTTGCACACTCCTCCTAACATTTCAGGTTGTTATTGATGTATCAGTAATACAGTGGACAGCTAAACATGTGCCTATAAATATTAACAGACTGACACGTGAGTTTTTGTCAGTGCTTCTGTTTATTTGAGATGCCCAGAATTTGTTAAAGGATGAACTGCAAAGAGAACAGGGTGGTGTACATGCAACGTAGAAAACTCTCCACGTGTATATGTACATACATATGTACCATGGTTTTCTACCAGATTAACTATTCCTTTATACATTCCTTCTCCTGGATCACCTACTGAACCTGATTCTTTAAGTTTATTGGACACACAGTTCATTCTTGCCTTTTAAAATCATGCTAATCTCCTACCAATTAAAGTGGTCATCAAAACAGCTATGTAGGACTGCCAGAGTAAGATAATTTGTCAAAACATATACTTGAATAAGTAGATTGGGTTTCTATCACTACAGGGGATCTAACCATGTTTCTCTTTTCACTTGCATGGGGTAAAATCAAGAGTAACTTCAGTGAAGACAATAAAATTCATTTTCATAAGACCAATGGAAGTGAAAGAAGAATCTGATTCTGTACTGAAACTATATTACTATGTAATAAATGTGATCAACTTACCCTTTCCATGGAGTCATCAACTGACATCAAAGTCTGAAGCCTTTTGCGCTGTAAGACATTTGTAAATTCCATATGGATAGGCAGCATGGGGCCAGTGTACTGCATAATCCAGTGCTTATCCATGTTTGGTGCATAGTTATAGCTTGGCGTTCTGGGGAGCGTGGGGGGAAGGAAAGGTGGGTATTTGAAGAATTTACACAACATTTATAGAAATTATAGAAACAAAGGAATTGATTAGCGATATGCCTAGACCAAATTGACTATCTGACAGCAGTGAGCATTAATACTTGAGGGCATCAGTTCCCAAAATTTATCATTTCACATACTAATTATTCACAACTGTGGTTTCATCATTTCACTTCATATCAAGTTCACTTACCACCAGTAGTACCAATGCCATGGTTTGGGAATCCCTGTTTTTAAAAATAAACCTTGAAAAATCTGTCATTATAAATTAATCTTTAAAATGCTGAAGACACACCAAAGTTATGTGTTATTAGACACCTTCACATCATACAAGCCAAATGGAAAAGAAGGTCAACAGAGATCAAAGAAAACTATTCTCCCATTCATAGTAAGTTGTGGTAGTGCCACATAACAAGGAGAAATTGTCACTAAATTAACAATTATATAAATTTAATTCACAAAGAAAATCTTTCCAATAGGACAATGAAATTTTAGCTTTCCATACTAATGTCAGAAAAGCAGGCACTGTGTTACTAGGTTTCAGTTTTTACTGTCCCTCAGAGAATCAAAGTGCTGATTTATTTCCCCTTTTTACCATCACAGTCAAATAAAAGCATGTTCAGGAAGCAGACACCCCTGCAATAGACACACAGTAGAAGCTCTGAATCTAACTGACTTGGTAGAAATGTTTGCAAATACTAACTATACTGAAAATAATTATTTATTTATTGGCTGTATCCTGCAGAGATATTATCTTTGTTTTTACATGCAAAGCACCATTTCCACCTATATCAAGAACGAGGTGAGCCACAGAAGCACCAAAGTATTAATACCACTACTAGTATTTCTACTAAGACCTAGAATGGAATCTACATAATTTCTGTTGGCATCATTAAATTGATCTTGGTCAAATCCCATTCTACAAAATCAAAGGCTTTGCTTGTTTTTTGTTTTCAAGAGTTCCCACAAATGTCAAGAGCCTGTGTGGTGGGTGATTTTCTAACCAGAGGTCATGAATTTTAAAAGCACATCATGTAAGAAACACAAATACTTCATCTCATATCTACTGCATTTAAAGAATGGGATGGTGAAAATTAAACACACAAATATGAATAGTGCCAGCACCGCTCACTAGTCCCAGTAATCCTGCTTTATATGCCACAAATGCATCTCTTTCAAAAATTAAAAAGGGAAACAAAATAATATTTACATATTAGAATTAGCATATTATACCTTGATCCTGACCCAGGCATTTCTTTCTTCTGCTTCCACCACAAGTGTAGCCATTTACCAGGACTGAGGCTTTCATGTATTTTATGACATTTACGTTTTGTGTGTTTTTCTTTTTTTTTTAATGTTTTCTAATTATTATTTCTAATGATACATAATCAAATATAATAACTTCTCATTGTTATGTTAGAAATATCATCTCATCCAAGTGTATCTCATTATTTTAGAAAAAAAAATCAATCCAAATTTTAATTGAAAAAAACGTTGCTTTTGCATGATATGAAATTGGATTCATGTTATTTCTCTTACTCAATGAATCCACATGCCTACTTCTTATTAGTCTACATAGATATTGCAATCAACATTATATGCATGTTAAATGTTTACAAACTGGCATTTTTTGAACATACATTACACTTAGGAAGCACTTACAAAATATCTGGAAACAAGTTAGGTGTTCAGCTTTTCTTGTCTCTCCCCATAGCCAGCATTGCTTTCCAGTATGTAGAAAACAGCTATTTTGGCACCATTTCAAATATTTACCTGATAATTCACATCACTGAAGCACTCCTCCTTCTATTAATTCTGACAGTTTAAAAAGGAAATGACAATTTGACTAAATTCTTTAACAATAAGACTGAAATAAGGCACTGCAGAAATATATACTGTGTTTACCTGAATCCAAAACGACTTTGAATTTAAGATGATCCTCCAATAATTATATTCTATACATGGAAAAGTTATAAATTTGTTATTGTTTTCCATATATAGTGCTTAATTAATGGAGCATCTACTTAAATTTGCTCCCCCCCCCCACCCAGTTGACAGGAAAAGTAGTAACAGGGGGTAGATGAAGGGGAAGTCAAGCAACCTTACCCTTACCCCTTGCCCCTGCTGCTTGTTCTCCCCTACCACTTGCCCCCACCTACTGCCTGTCCCCCTGTGCCTTTGTCTCCCCAGTACCTCCCCCAGGAGTACCTGTGTTTCCTGGTCCTTTACCCTTCCCCTTGCAATGCCTGCACCTTGTGGTACCTGCCACTCAGCCTACCCTGGCTCCCTCTCTCCACTCACCCAACACCACAATCTACACTTTGAGTTACAGCTCCAACTCTGGCTCTGGCCCCACTCCAACCTGGGTGTGACAAAGTGGGGCTCCCCAACTAGCCACAGTGCTAGTTTACCCACTTGCCTTTGGGCATGCCACCCACCTGACTTTCCTGCCATGCCTTGTTGTTAATTAATTAAGATATTAATTAAGGCAGGAGGCTGCCTATTCTTGCCCCGATGCCAGGGGGCACTATCTGTGGCTCTGTTCCTCCCCTACACCACAGCCCAAGCCTCACAGATGGCATCCAGATGACACAGTGCTCCCGGCCTACAGCTGGACCAAGCTTAGGCCTCCTCTCACTAAGGCCTCCCACACTCCACCCTCCCTTACAGGGTCTCTTTCATGCATCAACAACTTATTCTGCCTTGCTCTCTCTTGTGTAGCAAAACCCCCAGTTTTTCTTTTTTTCTTTTAAAATGCATTTCCTCCCCTTCCCCAACCATTTCTGTCTTTTTCTCTCCCTCTCTATTCCCTATAGATAAGTATAAGTAAGCTAAGATGTAGGATAAGCTTTAACATTTTATTTTAGGTAGTAAGTTTTGTTTTTCTGTCCCCTCTTTGCAAATAAGCTCCCTGCTATTTTGATATTGATACCCACTGTTTTATAAGTGATAATTATTATGTTTGACCTGCTTTTATATTGTGTGATTACTGTTTTAGGCCTATATATGTAAGTTAGCATAAGTCATGTCAAGTTTCCATTTTGTATGTCAAGCCTCCATCTTGTGTCCTCTGCCCGGGAATCCCCTGTGTTGCAACTGTATGATTCACGTACCCCTCCAATGTAAATTGGTTTCCTGATGAATGAGCGTGATTGGGAATGACTGAAATACAATGATAGCAGGCCTCTACTGAATGGCCTGTAATGACTAGGCCGTCACCTCGCATTGATTCATACAGGAACCATGAACCTCACCCAGGAACAGAGACAAGAACCCAGTATTTGAAACACAAGAACCTGCAGAACCAGCAACTCTACCATTGTACCCCACCATTACAGATATCCGAAACTGCACATCCCGGCATGGAGCACACATGCTTGGTACACCAGGGGGTGACCCTTGCTTGGGCATGCCTCCTGTCACTAGGGTCACACAAGGTCTGCCCCTATAAAAAGGGGCAGTGAAGACAGACCCAGTGGGACGCTATTTCCATCTGGACCAGCACCATCCACACCACCTATCCACCCAGAGGCCCTGCTGGCGACCCCACTCTGGACAACACCTACTGGACAAGGACCCCTTTCTAGCCTGGAGAGGTAGCTATCACCCTCCACCCCCTCTTCAACCAAGGACTTGGACTCTGCTTCTCTTCCCTACCTGGACTCCAGCCCTTCCACTGAGTCTCTTTCTCCTGCTGCCATTGTGTGTGTGTGTGTGTACCAATAACTTCATGGGGCTATGTAGTGTGTTGTTTGTTTAATAAAACTGTTATTTGGACCCCTAAGTTGGGTTTTGCTTTACTATGGTTTGGCCCTGCTCTAATCTCGGCTCCTTGCCCCTCTAACTTCTGTCTCATTTCTCCCTCTCCTGCTTCTGACTCTCTGCCACCTCCGACACCTGTCCTGAGCGACCACCTGATCTTAAGTAACCCCAAGCCTCAGTTCCTCAGCCAGTTTCTCTAGTCCACTGGTTCTAAGTCCGGTTCTGGCAACTTTCACTCCCTACACTTTATCTCACTCTCTCACCTGAACCTTCACCCAAGTATCCCAGGTACCCCAAGCTCACACATACACACCATACCATCCAAGTTAGGAACTTACCTGTGTGTATGTGTAGGTGGGTTGTATGTGTGTGAACTGGTGAATGTGTGTGTGTGCATATATGTATATATGTCATTGTGTGCATGATATACGAATTAGTGATCTGTGTCTAACTTTTGGGGTTGAATTGGTGATAGGTATGCATGTGCCTAGGCTGGTTTGGATGTGTACGTGCCTGAGCTGGTAGTGTGTGTGTGTATGCACCTAATTGATTTGTGTGTTTGTATATGTGCAATTGTGTCACACCCTCCTGTCTAAGAGCGCAATATTGAGATCCTGAGAGTTGGCCTGACCCCACAGGGCAACACTTGGAGCGGGCCCCTTAGGCCATAGCCTTTATCTAGTTCGTACCTTGGGTGGCAGACGTACCGTCTTTTGGGCCTCTCCCACAACCCTCACCAGGGTAGTGGCCAGCCAATTACATGACTGGGTCTAAGCTTGCTCTGGCCCCTTCCGGGGCAACTCTATACACTCACACCCTCTGGGCTCTTAACCCTCTGGTTTTTCTCCCCCTCCACTGGGGCTCCTCATCTCTGCCCCCTTTCTGGGGCCACCCCTCACTGGGGCATTCTTGACTCACACCACGACTGGTGTTCTGGGGTCTCACTCCCCCCGGAGCAGCAGGTCATTGTGCTCTATTCTAGCTCTTCTTTTTGACCCACACTCAGCCTCCCAGCAGTGGAGGACCTACCGGGGTCAGGACTCGCCCCTCTCTCTCGGACTGAGCCCCCTTACTCAGCCTCTGGCCCAAACTACAGCCTCAGGCATCTGGAGACATACCTGCTCCCTGGGGCTGCCCCCTCACTTGGGGCTGCTCAACTCTGCCCCCCTTACTTGGGGCCACGGAGCTTCCCTCCCCAGTGGG